TTGAGAATAAACAACTGTAATTTGTATTTGTTAGTCATAAACCTCACAAGGCTAAATTAAATATACGCATCCATTATCAACAGTCAGACATGCTTAAAGTATGCCAATAGGTCCTGATCCATTGTCAATTTAAATCAATATAAAGATTCCTAGGCCAGAGACAGAAGTTACACATAAACTGGTTTAAGTGATCAAAAACTGATTTAAACCTTCAGTGCACATAAACCAGTTTCAAAATGGCTGAAACTAGTTTAAGATAAACTTGGTTGAATGTAGTATCAGAATTAACTGATTCAGGTCAAACCGGTTTATGAAACTTCTATCCCAGAATCCTACCTAGTTCAAGTTTAATCACAGTCCCCCAGCATCCCAGCATGCTTTTCAGGCCTGGGCTGGGTTGGGCTGTCTGCTCCAGAGAGCAGGGCTGGGCCCGCTCCTCTGCTCCCTAGCTGGAGCAGAGGCAGCTGGCTTACTGCCCCCACCCCCCAGGCAAACCACGGCTGGGGTCTGGGGAAAGGGAGGGGGGTTAAACTCATCTTCTCTCAAGTATGGAGTTGCCCTGCCCTGCTCTGCTAAACTTTGTGCTGGCTGTAACTGTGGACTACAAATCCCAGAGGCACCTGGAAGCAGGAGGAGGAAGTAACAAGCAATCCTGTGGAGTCCTGCTGCTCTGATGCTGGACTGCAAATCCCAGAGACCTTGGGGGGCAGCAGGAAGAGGAAGTGAATACACCTCCTAGGTTGTGTTTATAGTTTTTGGTTTATAATTTTTCAGAGAAAGAACTATTCTTGTTCAAACTTTTATGAATTCAATGCTACTACCCCCCTCCCAGCAGGGAGTGGGGGAAGCCTTGGAGGGTGTCTCTGTTCCCTCCCCTTTGGCAGTGGCTGCTAGCTGTGCTCTAGCACCCCCCAGCTTCTGGCTTGAGCCACTGCAGGCATGTGACTGCATTTCCTGAATCAAAAGTGAATGTCTGTTCATTTGCTTATCAGTTCAAACTCTGCAGTTTAGACTAACCTACAAAGATGGAATCAATTTAGCCTTGGACTTTTTGACTGTCTATACTTGGCCCTAGTCCTTCAATAAGAAAAGAGATTATACCAATAAATACTTAAATAAATAGGCACCTCCTTTACTCAGTGTTCCTGACTGTACTCTTTATACTTGTGTAACTCCTTGGTTTCAGTGGAACTACAATGATATAAAACCAATATAATACAAAGGAACAGCAGGCTCAATATATCTGTTCCAGTGTACCTTTGAGCCTTACACGAGGGGAAAAAAATGCTTGTATACATCTTTGAACCATAAAATGATTACATCTATGCAAGAGAGAATTGGATTTTATTATACGTCATATGCTAGCCAGAAAACTATCAGGAAAATCCTGCAGAACATTCATTTTTGGTTATGATGTTAGAGGCAGAAAGAGCACAGCTTGATTTTCCTACAACATGCAGAGCTTGTGGTGCTAGGAGCTAGCAAAATCATCTTTTGATTTGTAAATGGAGACAATCATGGATGAAAGTAATTCAGAGGATGTTTGGAACCTCATGATATCTTTTACATCCTTTTTCTGGCTAAAACTACACTTAAAAGCTTCTGCTTCAAGGTCTGTTTGAGCAATAGCATGCTTCTTCCACACACAAGATAATCAAGTAATAAAAATGAAAAAAAATACTTTACATTCAATAGTTTTAGCTGTCTTATCTAAGCCATTTGTCCATGATGGTATCTATAGCACAATGCTTTCTATGTTTAACACTGTATATACAAATCCTTAAAAGAAACCCTGAAGTTAGATTCTATCTCCCGTGACCTTCTCCAAAAAAGTCACTGAGTTGCTTTAGAGACCTTCTTACCCCCTCCACCCCTCAAATTCCCATTTTATAATATTAGCCTTTTGATAGCCTTTTGATAGCTCAGTCTATAATATTAGCCTTTTGATAGCCAGGAGTGATGCAAATATCCACAACAGATAATGATCGCTATTTCCCACATAGACTGAAAACAGTTTTTTAAACTCACCTACCACTGCATACAAGCAGACATGAGTAACATGACAAGCTTGAAACTAACACCCACTGGCAGGGACCCAATCTCTGCATAAATCACATTGGACAGTTTGAATGAATAAACAAAGGTCTGCCAACAGAGCACATTTCTTTCATTAGTTTCAGTGTGTTCTCTTATCCTATCCCACATATATTGGAGGTGGGCAGATTAATCAGGAAATAGTTGCCAATCAGGAAGTAGTTTGAGGCACCCTAAGCCTCGAGATTTTTGTTTTTTGGGAGGAAAACACCTAAAAATTCATTTAACTTCTTTAATATCAGATGGAGGGTGTGGCAAACAAAACACTGAATATTCATTCATGTCAACTTTACTGTCTTTGGTCAGGTCTGCACTAGAAACTTTGGCCAACAGAACATTACTGACTATGGGAGTGATTTTTGGGCAGTATTTCTGTGTGGGCCAAAGCTCTTGCTTAGGTGCATTTACACCTTTCGTAAAAGAGTTTTTGCTTGTATAGCTTCTTTTTGCTCGCAGAAATGATACAATGTATACTGGCAAATTCATTTTTTGCTGATATAAGTTCTGTCTCCATAAAGAGAGTTTTGTTAGTATTGCTATCCTTTCTCAAAGGGAAGACTATTCAGTCACTTCATCAGCGCATCCCAAATATTTGCATCTAGTTCAAACCAGAGGACAGCATAAATTCTGGTATAATCTGGATGTTTAAAAATGAGGTATAGTTAGGAAACTGAATAAATACATACACATCTATTTGTAGGCTTCTATGCAATATATTCTATCTTATGACTTCTATATGTGATAGAACAGTTGCACTTGTATGAAAATAGTGGCCAGCACTGAACTAAAAGGTTTGTATGAAAAAATGTTCTGATTTATTCAATAACATTTCTGTTTGTTTAATACAGTAGAACCCAGATAGTTCATGAAGGTCAGGGTTTGTGAATCAACTAGGATTCAGACAGAGCCATAGTTAACAACTGTGCAGAACCACTCAGGTGCTCAAGCTAATTGCTCTGACTGTCAGAGGTTCCATTTCTCCAATCAGCTGCTTAGGACCACTGGTGAGTTCCAGCTGAGTGGAGAAGTGTAACAGGGGGCCTGCTTGGGGCCAATCCAACCATGGCCCGCCCACCTGGGCTAACTGCCCACGTTCTTGCCTGCCATGCCTTGTTGTTAATTAGTTAAATAGGTGTTAATAAGTGGGAGGCTGCCCATATCCTACCCTGATGACAGGGGGCACTATCTCCCCTACACCGCAGCCCAAGCCTCGCAGATGGCAGCTATCATTCTTATTGTCACCAGCCCCCACACTGAGCCCTAGAATCCTACTGTCGAACCCCCCCCCCCGACGTCCTCTCATCAGGCAGTATCCTCCGCCTTCATACTGGGCAACATAGCTCCCTGAGCTGCTTCCCCTTTGGGTGTGATCCCCCCACTGGGTATAACCATTTTACAGATGAGGGACTGAAGCACTGAGAAAGTAAGAACCAGATATTTAAGAGTGTTTAGTGAGATTTTGAAAAGCACATAGGTGCCTAACTCCAGTGGGTGTCTACGTAATTTTGAAGCACCTAACTATTTTTTAAATCTTCCCTTAGTAATTTACCCAAGGTTACACACACAGTGGGCATGTCTACATGATATGCTATGGCAGAGGCAGGAAATTATTTTGGGTGGAGGGCTGCTTACTGAGTTTTGGCAAGCCATTGAGGGCTGCATGACAGGCAGCCAGCGGCAGATAAATATTAATTTTCTAAATTTTGGAGCTAAGAATGATAAAATCTCAGGGATACTGGAGGTTGCAGGCTCTGAGATGAGAGTCAGTTCACACAAGAAGAGTAAATGTAAGAAAACTATTAACTGGAAGCAACAGGAGCAGCAGCAAACCCCAGCAAGGAAACTTAGTTATTACCAGCTACAACCTTAGCTAATAGCAGCAATATAATTCTAAAGGTGACCATTTGGGGACTCTAAGTACAGTGTATGAATTCTGTTTCTTATTATCAACTTGATGTACGTATCTGAATCAAAACACGAACTGCATTTGATTATAAGCTCCTCTTACTGTCTTTTGACTTCCATTTTAGGCTGAAATTCAGAGGGCTGGCATGACAGGGTTAACAATGGAAGATTGTTAAATCCTAACATGTTTCTTTTCCAATGCATGTTCCACAGGTCGATAAGCCGGCTATTTCCTAGAAGAACCTGCCCGCCTAGATGCACTAATCCAGTCAAATGATCATTTGATAGGTAGATGATTTTGAGGCTGACTAGGCAGTCACTGGACAAAGAGACTAGAAGTCCATAAAAAGCCAGCTCAGCTCAGAGCAGCTTGCTTTCTCCAAATTGAACAGGAAGATAACCATATGTAACCCTGGTGGTATGCGGGAAGTATCGCCTCTTTAAATGGAAGGGATGTTAGCGGGAGTGTGTATGCTGTGGGGAGCATGGCTGTCTAGCTATAGGCCAGCTTACCTCCTTCCTTTCAGAGCAGAGCAGACTAGGAGTCACAGTGACTCTTAACTATGTACACGTTTAATCTTACACATTAATTAATAACTTACAGCCATAAACTTATATACATGAATATATATACATATAAATGCTGTTAACAGATATATATTCACACAAACAAAAAGGCTCTAATTAACCCCAAACTCAAGCATAGGCCTATCCTCTGGCCTTCTGATTAGTCTGCAACCAGGCAGTGATGGATCAATAGCCTTCTTTTGTACTGATGTCTGTCTGAATGCAAGCGGCCAAATACCAGTTTTAAACATTCAAATTCCAGTGCGTGTGTGTGCGCGCACACTGTCAAAGATCATATATGACGGTAACTTAATATTTTAAAGGATAATCACACTCCCAGATGTTGATGACAGTGACCATAGGTTAAACGATAAAACTGCTCCTTAAGAAAATATTGATCCTGAAGTCACCAAAATGCCAGAATGTCTACTTACTCATTTCTCTCTTCATCTGAGTGTTCCTCATCAGATGAATATCTGGGTGGCTGGCATTCAGTTGCCCATCTTGCCTGTTGCTCCTCCTGTGCTGCTTTTAGTGCATTCTTCCTCTCCAGTGATTCTTTGTGAAGCAAGTAGAAGTACCCCCGACCCTGCTTCACAGAATTTATCAAATGCCTGCCAAAAATTACAAACAGAAGAACATCAAAGAAAATCAAACCCCACAAACTGTACAAATGTTAAATGTAAACCAGTGTTGTGCTAAGGTCCATTTTCACTCTAAGAGACAATTTGCTTCCTTTACTTATTCCTAGGAGTTATGTGCGTGCATTGAGAGATTACATTTCTCTGTGTTTGACAACCAAACAGAAAGAATTGAAAATTTGTCCCATAGTTAAAAATTAATACCCTACAGCAATAACTCGGTAGTTTCATCTCTAAATATTGGTAAATTGTGTAAAGCAAGCAAACAAAGCTTTGGGATGGTTGTGACAGGACAGGGCCCCAGAGGTGACTGTGACATCCCCTGGTGGCCAAATGGTATGGGGTATGTGAAATGGGCTCTATTCGATTTGGATTTGGCCCAAATCAGGGACAGTGATTCGATCTGTTGATTTGGATCACTGTCACTGATTTGATTTGGACACAGGCACAGCTTTAAAATTTTTTCTACATACCTTGAGGTAGCAGGCGCAGCTTGTGATCACTGCAGTGCAGGGGTGCCCGAAGCGTCCCACAGCAGCGTGGGAGGCTCTCCAGTGTGGGAGGCAGCTAACCCAGAAGTGGACTGGGAGTACTTCCGGTCTACTTCCGAGTCTGCCAAGGAGTGTGCTGGGGGCCCCCCTGCTGTGCCCCTCTGACCCAGCGATTGGCCGCAGCGGGACCCCGGGTGCTCCCTGCCAGACCCAGGAGGCACCAGTCACTGAGCTAGGGGGACATGGGGGCGCCCCCCTGCATGTTCCCATGTGGACCAGGAAGTGTACCGGAAGTGCTTCTGGTCCACTTCCAGGTCTGCTGCTGAGTATGCTGGGGAGTCCCCCATGCTTCTGTGGGACACTGAATCTGCCCCAGCAAGGCAGCGTTCAGAGCCCCTGCTACCTAGAGGTACGTAGAAAAATCATTTAAAGCTGTATCTATGCCCAAATTGCTGAACATGTCTGACTTGACTGGGAGAGATTAAAGGGTTCTCTGGTTTGATTTGGATTCAGAGATTTGGTCCCGAATTGGGCTGAATCTCCACCAAATCGAATCAGGGAGTGAAGCTTTGCACAGCCCTACCAAACAGCTCTTGACTAGCCCTACCTCTAAGCTACCCTCCCTTTGCTCTTGTCTGCCATGCCTTGGTATACTTAATAGATTTGGAAGGAAGGTTGCCCAAGAGTCTTAGAATAAGTCTTGGCCTGTCTTCTGGTTAGCGGATCCCTCTTGGATCCCACTTATCCCAATCTATTCTTGGGCTAGATGGGCCCTCCTGGCCTGAACATGCCCTGCAGTACACCAGATGCCTTATGAGCTATTCACAGCATCCGACCTCCCCTACAGCCATGCCCACATCTCTCAGATGTTATGCATCATCATTCAAGTGGGATAGAATAATTGAGACAAACTGAAGATGTGAGACATGCACTCTATGACCATCTCATGGCACACAAACATCTGAAGTCACGCTGGAGCTTCCTCACCAGCACCCAATCTCTGAATGCCATACCCAAAGAGACAAAACTACAGATGTGGAATGAAAGGCTGAAGAGAAAAAATACCTGACAGTGAAAAAATGGACATTTCAATGGCTAAGTCCTTGCAACCAGGGGCTGATGAACCAAGGCAAAGGTGGCAATGACTTAACCACCTACATACTGGAGTTGGATGCTCCAAGAAACTAATAAAGTGGGGCTACACCATTGGTTCAACCACTTGTGACTCCAGCAGAGAGTCCCAGACTATGCAACACCTGCTGCAATGCCCGCTGCTTGAAGGCACATGTACAATGAAAGATCTTGCAAAGTAAAATAAGTGAATACAACCATGTGTAACAAAATGTTTAAATGTGGTGTAGAGACATGAGAAGAAGACAATTCAAGTGGTATACTTGTTCCCAAAGCCACCAAACCACCTTCAGCTTTTCCTTCCTTGTTGGGGTTTTGACCTTCCTGGCTTCCGCCCCAAAATTCTCCCTTCTGGGCAGCTGGCCCCTGGCTCCTGTCTACCCCTTCTGGGCCAATTTCACCCTTGCTGAGGTATGGGCCCTTGACCCTGGCTCTTGCCTCTTTCCAGCAATGGTTAAGCCCTCTTGGGCTACGGGTCCCTAATCTTAGTGCTTGCCCATCCTGGGCTAGGAGTTCACCCCTCTTGAGCAATGAGTCCTGGACCCTGGTTCTTGCCTCTCCTGGGCTACAGTAACACCCCTCATGAACTTTGGGCCCCTGGCCCTGCTTCTTACCCCTGTAGGGAAATACTGAGCTCCCTGGCTTCTGTCTCTGCCCTCCTAGGGCTTAAGGCCCACTGTCCCAGTCAGTACCCTGACCCTGACCCCTGGCAGGCCTCAAGGCAGTCATGTGCCCCTCAGACACTAATGGGGCCTCCCAACCATCTGTACAGTCCCAGGCCTGGTCCACCAGTGTAATATTAGAAAAGGGCAAGCAACTGCTTAACACACTCCTTTTCCTTTGGACAAACAAACATCAACAAATGAAAAACACACTACCATTTTAACTGGAAACATCACCTCCCTCCCCCCAACCCCGCAAGCTTTCCACTCTTTGCTACACTTGGGACTGCAAGTAGAGTCACAGGCATTAGTTCAGCCACAGCCATAGTCCTCTCAATGCAGGGCTCCTTCCCAGGTAGTCCCTCCAGGAACAGCCATCACTCCCATCTCTCTCTCTCTCTCTTTTTTGCAAATAAATAAATAAAAATAACTTGATAATTGGTGGTGATGAAAGATAACTATAGTAGTGTGTGTGTGTGTGTGTGTGTGTGTGTGTGTGTGTGTGTATTTATATATAGAGTGTGGAGAGAGAGAGACAGAGAGGCAGAGCACCAGTGGGTTGCTCACCATTAAGGGAAGTTGCAAGCTTTGTGGGAGCTTGTTGGCTGAGCAGCAGGGAAAACCGTCCCCAGGAAAATTTTTACAGGGGAAGGCATGTGTCAGAGCACTCATGGTGCTCTGCCACTTTAAGAACTGGGCCAGGCAGCAGACAGGTGCAGGCCAGTCCTGATGAGCACCCATCTTAAGACACAGGCCACAAGGGCTGGAGGCAGCAGTTGCTTCCTGGTGCTGAGGAAGGAACATCTCTTGGTGGAGCTGCTGCTTCAGAGACAACACAGAGGTAAGGGCAGGAGCTATGGGGCAGCTTAGAGGGTCCTGGTCCTGGGCATGACTTAAAACTGCACCCTGCCGGGTTAGGGAGGCCTGATGGTCCTGCCAGTGGTGGGGCAGGGCCAGCAAATGCCAGGTTCGAGGGCCATCCTATTGAAAAGTGGGTTGGGGTGCCTTAATAACCCCTGTCCCCACCATCTGGTGGGTTACTAGTAACATCAGAGGGATTTAGGGCCAGGTATGTCTACGTAGGACACCTGAGACTGATAGGGCACAAGGCCCAAAGTGGGTAGTGGGGCCAGGCATGCCCATGTGGGGCACCTGAGGCCATTTGGGGTGCAAGATCCCAGTAAGAGGGAGATAGGGGGCAGGCATGCCCATGGGTGGCACCTGAGTCCTTTAAGGTATAAAACCCTGGGGAGAGAAGGAGAGTTGTGGGCCAGGCATGCTGACAAGGGGCACCTGAGCCTGTGGGGGTGTTCTGCTCCGGACGCCAGAGAAGGGGGCGGAGTATTGAGTTGAGGCCCTGTGAGAAAGGGGGCTCAAGTTGAGGTCCTGTTAACTTGAGGGGCTGAATTTGGTCCAGATAAGCCTTCAGGTGCCTGAGGCCTGAGGCAGTGGGAGACCAGCATTGTGGCAAAGGTGGGAACTCCCCAGCCAGCCACAGTGCTGATCTCTCTCTGCCTCTGGGCATACCGCCTGCCAATCTTGTCTGCCACACCTTGCTATTAAGTAATTACAATCTTAATTAGGCTGGAGGCTGCCCATTCTGGGCCCTGGTGTCTCATTGTTGCTCTCTTTGGAGGGCTAACCTCTGAACAGTTCATGCCAGTCCCCTCTCTTCTATATGATATTCACCATCTCTTGCCCATTATCTTCTACCAACTTCCTGTAGTACTAGCAAGAGCCATCTCTCAGCAGAGCTCTTTTCCTTTCAGGTTCCAGGGCTAGACTACTTGCCCTGAGTCAGGCTCTGGTTTATCTTTCTTCCAGGGTCTGTCCCTTTCTGGTCAGGTGACTTCCCTAAATTGGCTACAGGTGTTTTTTAATTGGGCTTGCTGGCTTCTCCCGTGGCAGCTTACTGCCCTTGCCTGGCTGCTACAGCAGTGTCTAATTTCCCATGCACGGCTCTCTCCAGCTGTATATTGCAGAGCAGTTACCTCCGTAACTCACAGCTTACAGGCCCCTGACGCCTGCTTCTTTGAGGCTCTTAACGAATAGCCTTTCCCTATCTGAGGCTCTTCCTGCAGTTGTTCCCCTCTCTTAAGGTAACAGGAGCCCTAGGCTCTTGTTACAATAGTACAAATGTCAGCTGAAATGTATGTGATTTTTTTTTTTAGTGTGAAAACTAAAATACAGTGTTTTCTCTTCCACTAAAATATTGAGTGTTGCGGGTAAACTGAGGAAACCAAGTAACGTTTCCTAGTAGTTCATCAAATGAATGTGTCTCCAAATGTGTATGCATCTCAGATGGAGGAAGGGGACTAAAGAGGAAAGTGAAACTGATCTGACAGCATGTCTGACTGAAAGATGATGTGAAATCTAGACAATAAATGAAAAATATTAAATGGACTGCAGAAGTTACAAGGAAAAAAAGGAGATTATTACAGACAGCTAGGCTGACCTATTATAATAACTGCCTCAAAAATACATCCTCAGGACTCACAGAGAAAGTTAGCTGTTGAAACTCTGCATCTAATTTTTACACTTTTGGGTAAGAAATGTAAGTTGCTAAATTACATTATTAAGACAATGCCTATGTCTTGTTTTTGGTTGAGCCTTTAGCCAGCCAGGATATACTGTAGATATACTGAGCCTGATTCTCCACCATGTGTTACTTTTAAGTGGGGTTCAATAG